TAATGTAAACCTAAAAAAGTTTGTTATACGGTTTACGTGTAAACCTTCTAACCTTAAAACGAGATCTGTCTATTCTAAGTACATCACCCTAATCCAAAACCATGGAAAACAACCTTCTATATAAAAACCTTAAATCGAGGTTGACTTAAGGTTTTCAAGCGTGAAAAAATCCTTTAATAAAGCTAGTCTCAAGGTGAAAATAATCTTAAATCTAGATAATTATAAGATTTCTTTTCGCCACGCTATTCTTTTTTTTAATCGTAACAAAAAACCTGGAATAAAGCTAGTCTTAAGGTGAAAATAATCTTAAATCTAGATAATTATAAGATTTCTTTTCGCCACGCTATTCTTTTTTTTAATCGTAACAAAAAACCTGGAATAAAGCTAGTCTTAAGGTGAAAATAATCTTAAATCTAGATAATTATAAGGTTTCTTTTCGCCACGGTCTGAATGCTACTCTAATTTTACATGACTTGCCCATCTGGCCAAGATGATTTTTGTGTGTTCTATATAGCATTAATTTCTTCAAACCATTTTAGTAACGATAATAATATAAAAATATTAAAAGCATTTAAAATTTACTCGAATTATGCGTTTCTAATAATCTTGACCTCGCCGGTCACCGGTGACCCCCCATGGCATTCAATGTGTTAAGTAGAATAATCATTGCTTAATCCAGTGAATAACTCTGAGTTGGTTGCTAGTTGAGCGCCAATAGGAATGATTTTAATTAATCGAGAAAAAAAATGAATCTTGTAAACAATAAATTAAAAAAAATCGCTAACTAAAATAGCGCGTTAATTTGGAATTTCTCAAGTTTCGAGAATTGGGGGAAAAAAATCATGTACCAAGTATGAAATGATCATGTATAAAATATATTTCCTTCAATCGTAAAAGAGTATTGTGTGTTTTATTTTCATTTTTGTACAAATACTTTTCGAGTACAGTTTTAGTCTTCTAAGAATTCTTCCATGGTGACACACTTCCAGTGACTTCTGTGACATGCAAGTCCTTCGTCACATTCGGATGCTGATATTGACCCGAGGATGTGATCGGGCATGCATCTCTCTCCTTCGCCTGTAAAAAGAACAAAACGATTTCACTGTGAGAACTTAGATAAAATATAATTGTAATCAGTTTAAACTTTAACTCCATAATTTTCCAAATTAAATCGAGAAGTTCTTATAGTACTATGGATGGTGTTTTCTATACACTAGGAAGCATTGTTCTTTTTTTTTTTTTTTTTTTTTTTTTTNTTTTTTTTTTTTTTTTTTTTTTTTTTTTTTTTTTTTTTAAATGTGGAGTCTTGTATTATAGAATCACATAGAGATTTTACGAAAAAAGTTTTATTTTTTTATTTTATATCCGTCGTTGAACAGCAGACCCAATTTTGGGTTTAGTCACTGTTCTACTCCGTAGAATTGTAATTTTGAACCCAATCCAGAAGACAAGCAAATTCCTGGATCGGTATCCCCAGAGGTATTGATTTGTTATGGGAACATGGAAGACTTTGCGACTCGACAGATTTAACGTGCATCAGTCACCATTTACTAGAGAGGGAGTCTTCGGCCGGCGAGGATCGAACCCACGAACTCTTGAACATGATCCCAGTGCCCTACCAACCAGGCCCTGTGAAAAAAATTGTATTTCATGTTTGAATACATTTCCAAGGCAAGCATTCAAAGTGTACGAACACTTTTGAGAGCCATTGTATTCGGTTTGATAAGGGTAGTAAATTAAACGCTTCTGATATATTTTTTTTAAAAATTCCTTTTCTAATATGCCTAGTAAAGATTAGGAACTAAATACTTTTTTTAATTGTCATACAGACAAGTATGACAAGATTTTTTCTAATCACCGCAGAATGCTCCTTTGTTAAACTAATATGCTTTTTCGAAATAAAATCATGACATGATCTACTTTTTTTAAAACTATTATAGGCTGTAACTACTTTATGCTGGGATAAGCGTGCTATTTTATGTTGCACACAGCTAAACACAACTATATTATATTGAACTCTAATGTTAGGAAGTAGGTAGTAATCGACACTCCATTAAAACTCGAAGTATCTCTTACCAATCACGCATTTTTTAATTTATTTACTTAGACATAGTGATCCAGTACAACGATTACGAATCTAGAAGGAAAGTAAGAGACATTGTAGAGGTAGAAAATATTGCAGGCATAGCTTGCCATGTTCGGAAATACTATCGCGCAGCCTCTTCTTAATGAGGTGATCCATCAGGTTTGAATCCCAGCGATGGCTGGTCGATATGAATTCTGCACTAGACTCGCACCAATCACAGTGCTGACGTAAAGTATCCCCAATGTAGGGAGGATCATAGTTTAAAATGCCCTCGCTGAACCATTGGAAGTCTTCGTAATTTTTCTTTCTATGTAACACAAATGCGAATTAGTTTCATCAAGAAGTCTTTCGCGAAGGCTAGTTTCTACCAATGCTTGATTCAGAAGTTCTCTTGTCTTCTGGGTTTGGTACAAAATTACAAGGCTACGGAGTTGAACATGGGGAGTTGTAAGGCCAGAATTGGGACGGTTGTTCAACGCCGGTTATAAAATAAAATATTGCATTCAAATATCGCTAGATCTAGCTGTTTTACATCATTAAGGATTTTCGGCCAAACATGCTAAAATCGCCAAGTTTGTAACTAAATCATTAAATGGCGATAAAGTGCAATGCGATTTTCGGTACTAATTACTAGGAAACGTAATTCAGATAAATAAAAGTATACAGTAACTGGCTCATAGGTTATGCAATTTTCATTTCTTGTTATGTGCCCTTCCAAATTCATAACAACCGTACATGAATGAACCAGCCTATTTCCTCATGAGTTTGTGACTATCATTGTTAAACTTACCTAATACTTTGACGCAGATATCGCAGCACTTGCAGAAGCTTCCTTTTTCTCTGATTTTCTGTCCATTCTCTCTCAAGCAGTTAGACAGATCATCACATTTCACTCCACTGCAGAAGTTGGGTGGGCAAACGAAGGCACTTGCAACAGCCACCACCACGGCAAATAGAACAATGTATTTCATCATTTTTTTTTCTTTTTGCCCTCTTCTCTAGATTCAAGTGCTGAAACATGAAAAGATTTATTGTCATATCTCACGTTTCCACGCCCGTTGGTTAGTATCTATCACGTTATTTTTTTTCCACAACTAATAGATTTCACGTTTCACGGTTTTTTCCCCACAACTATTAGTCAGCAAATTCAACTAACGATAGTTACACGGGTTTTGGAGGTGTTTTTATGAAGAGAATTACTTTCGTCACTGTAGAGAGCTGTAATGAATAAATAACTAAATCAATTATTTATTTATTAATCTGTTTTTCTTCGGTTTTAAAACCTTATATTTTATAGGCTCAACATACATCTTTATACATCATAAAATCGCTTCACATACTCTTTCTAGACCAAAGAAAAAAAAATATTGTGATAACTAACAAAAAAAAGAAGATCCAGATATTTTTGCCCGTTATCTGCAAAAAAATAATAACAGTTACAATAAAATTTGTAAATTTTTGTATTTATCCATCATTTAATGATTTTACCAGCAATATTTATTTAGGATCCCTTCTTAATACTATTCTTTCCTTTTTTAATAGCCTTTGACAAAATGGGTGTTGTTTTGGGTTTGATGGCGTGCTCACCTTGGTGACGCACGTCATCACACTTTTCAACTGTGTTCAAGAGTAATAAATAGTAAATAGTGCGCATGCGTTGCTATGGCGACCGCTGCTGTTTGTTAATTTTTTTAGAATTCCTTTTTTCACTTTTAATTTTGTGATGCATTAAGTGGGTTAGTTTATTTTTGAGATATGAAACCAGAGAGATCCCATAAATTCTTCTTGAGTTGTGAATAAAAGAAAATTTCATCATTTGAACGATATATTTTTTTATAGTTTTAATTAGGAATCAGAAATTGTAACCTGCAGTTCAAACTGGATCGTTTTTATTACTAATTCAGGTAAATATCACCAATAAAAAGGGCCCTAAAGGTTAGAGTTGAAGCAAGACGTAAAAAAAAAAAAAACGATGCCAAGGCCTAAGCTTACCGAGGCTGAAAAAGCACAACCAATGCAAGCAATTTTGCCAATGGGTTTTGCGATTACAATTTTTTTAAAAATTGATTTTGAAAATTTTGTTTTTTTCTATCACTTTTTTTGGGTCGTTATTTAAACCAAAGGTTTAAACTCAAAATATTGTTCCGTTATTAGAATAAAAAATTTATTGCATTATCTATGCAAAATAAATGCATAATACAACCCATGTTATTATATGCAACTTTTATAACAAAAGTGCAGTTACCGTTTAGTAATTATTAAACGGTAAATAAATTGTATTTACTTTTAAATAAACAATATTCACTTTCAAACCAAATTTTATACAAAAGTGTGCTCATAATATGCAATATATAACATACAATACATAATATACAATAGTTGTTTGAAATTTGAAACAATATAAGAAATTAAACTTTTTACTTCATTGCCAAATACTGTCACCTTTGGCGAAAGATATTTAAACAGTTTTTATAATAAACAAAAATTATGTAATAATTGAAAAAAATCGTGGATTTAATACCAATTGCAAAGAAACAAAATGGTTTGAGGTAAATTAAGATACAAAAGTAATAGTGAAGCAATCGTGAGTGAAGCGAACAGGTGCAAAGCCCCAAGAAGATATGTTTAATACATTCTGACACGAAAAAAAATATTTGGGTAATTGGAATAGTTCGATTTTTTAGTGTTATTTGCGTTAAAACAATTTATTATAGATTTTTCGTCATAAATTTTCTTTTTAGCTATAAATAAAATGTACACATCATTGAAAATAATCAAAAGAATACTAGAAGATCGTCATTCATTTTTAGATTTTTTAGAAATAAATGTTTCTTGAAAGAAATTTAACAAACTGAAATCAATATGTTGATGGGAAAAGCAGTTCATAAAATAAAATAATAAAAAAACTATAATAAAACGAGAGGCAAAATACAGTATCATTTAAATTGATGATAGGGAATAAAATGAATATTTAAATCAAGGAAATTATATTTATAGGAAGAAAGATAACTAATTGCATTGAATAGTTAACCTTATAGTTGAGTGAAACCTATAGTTAGAACAGAATATTAAAATTCAATAAAATATTATCCATAACAAAAATATAACTCACCGCTTTAAAATGAGCCAAAGTAAGGTAAAAATTAAATTTAAAATATCCTCTGTTTTTATCACAAAACTGTTATCAGTTATTTTTACTGTTATCCAGGGAAAATAAACAGACTTTTATTTATCTCTTTAAAACATCTGTGGATTTAACCATTAAATTCTCACATAAACTCATATCGTTTGATTTCAAAAATGCTTCGTCTCAAAAGATTAAATATATTTGGATTGTAGAACAAACAAAAGAAAAAGAAAACATACCGTTTTCAATTTTTAATGCTTCACTTTTAGAAATTTCTCAGAAAAAAATGATTAAATGACCATTTCTTTCATTGTTATTTTACCATATTTAATGAAAATAGTCAAACAACTATAAATACGATAGTATTCAAATTGTTAACTGTGAAAAAAAAATTCATTCATTAACTGCTTTCACCTAATACGGTTAAACAACCAGAATTTTATCGCACCAACTAGATCCACCTAATGAAGCCACTTAGTTACGGATAGGCACATATTATGACCAAGAGGGCTAGTCAGTCAATCTCATGGGAGTTCGAGTCCCGATGATGGCACTGTAATATTTCGTCCGTTCCGTACAACACAGGAAGATTTTCCAGTGTTCTGCACTCTCCAATTAGTGACCCTGGCGTATTAGAATACGATGCTCTTATTCACCCATAGATGACAACACCATAAAACTGCTAAAACTATCCCCTATGTTCAGTTAAATCACTCTTTCAATGTTTTGAAAACATGCTAGTTGTAAATGGTTAAGAAACCATACAGTTTTGTATTCATGGTTTATTAACCATACTAATTATAAACAGTTTCAAAACCGTAAAGATGAAGAATATTCTTTACCGTAAACTTTACTGTTTATCGGATGGACAGACTGCTGCCGGTAATAAAATATTTTTTATAATATTTAAGCAATTTCATATTCATAAAAAAAAATGTATTAAGAAGCCGGAAAATTAAACAAAGAAAAGATATAATCTCTTCATCAGCTCACACGATTATATCCGCAAAAAGGAGTGCTTTCTTATATTGCATCAATAAAGCCAAAGCAAAATATATCGATACAATATTAGAAAGCACTCCTTTTTATGGATATAATCGAATGAGCTGATTATATCTTTTATTCTTTATTTTGTTTTCCGGATTTTTAATAAGTTTTTTTTAATAAATTAAAAATTGTTTAACTATTTTTAAAAATAATTTTATTTCAATAATTTTTTTTCTTCTCTTTTCTTTAATCTTTTTTATTTTCCATGTGTTCTCTATATTCTAACTCATTTTATGAGTTCTATATAGTTACAGCTTTTACGCAGTTAATAAAACTTACTAAGTTTCTTAATTTTCTTCGCGTTTCTCTCTTTACTTTTTATCCTTTTTGCAATAAAAAGAAAAGCGTTTCTTTAAATTTAAAAGTTTCTTTACAGCCGAAGCTCATTTTTTTTTCGCATGCTTAGAATTTTGGAGACACATTTGATGTAAAAAATTACGTTTTTAAGAAATTATAATACCTGACCGAGATAGGTTAATAAGGGAGGATATGAGGCCATATATATACAGTTTATAAGCAATGATTTCTCACTTTAAACGCTTTTAAGCAAAAAGAAAGATATACCCTTCTGGGGCCCCTAATTTTTCTACAATTATTTCCTTTAATATGGTAGTATAGTATGTTATAACATAATACTTGACCGAGGTTAATATTAAGAGGAGATATGGGTCCATATGTAAGCAGTTTGTAAGCAACAATTTCTTACTTTTAACTTTATTCTACACAATTAGAAACATATACATGCATGCTTAAATATTGTGGAAACATGTGTGTCTTTTATTATTAACTTTGATATGGTAGTATAGTATGTTATAATATAATACCTGACCCAGTTTTGACATGATAGGTGAACAATAAGGTAAAGAAAATAGTTCAGAGATTACACCAATCTTGTCAAGTAAGGTGGTCTTTCTACACTTAGGGCGGGTGATAGACTGATTAGGATTAACTTCCTGGAAGTCAGTAAGAATCATATATGGCAACGTTACTTTTAAAAAGTAACGAGTAAAAAGTACAAGTACTAAACCAAAAAAGTAACGATTTAAAAGTACATTTCTGGGAAATCAAAAATTCAAAGTAACCTAAAATTTTATTGCATAATATTCTTATGTTCTTGAATGTTTTTGCAAAATTGTTGTTATTTATTTAATTATTTTTAATTTTGAAACTTATGAACATTAATTTATTTTTAAATTCGGAAGAATATTATAATATAATTTTATAATATAATCGTATAATATAATTTAAAATCAAATATAATTTTAATATCAAACTTTTTATGGAATTGCACGAAAAAGAAATTTTATCTATTGATTTAAATTTTTAGTTTATTATTCTTATTTATTTAAATTACCATTGATTTAAAATTGCTTTACTCTATAGAAACGCGTTTTAAAAGCACAAACATAAACAAAGCAAACACGGGGTATCAGAGAGCTTTGTGATCTTTGAGCTAGTAAAAAATAATTGAATGTGCAGTATAAGTTGAAACAGAACAGTCTTAAGTTTTATTTGTAACAATGGCTAATGCTGAACTCGTGCGAGAAAATCATTTTCCGAACATTTCTGCCTAACGGAATAATTAAAATTTGTAAACGAATTTTAGTATCAGCGGCTAAACTAATACCTTTGAGCTTTCAAGAGTTAAAATAGTAATTATAATAGTTTTCAATAGCATAAATAGTACTGAAGTTCTTAGAGATCTGACTGGGCGTTGTTTGACAAGGTCGGGCATAAACATAATTTTAGTAAAAAATGTACTAGGTAAAAATGTATTTAGTAAAAAATGTATTATTAGTGAGTTCAAAAAGAAAACTGATAAACGTAATAACAAAATCCAACCTTTTTTTATTTAAAATGTATTAAATATATGCATAAAACTCAAAAATGAATGAAAATAACTTGTAGCAATGAAAGAAACGAAGGAAATAAAAATAAAAATATGACCACCGAAGCCGACGTCTTCAGGGGGGACCCGTCCCCGGTAGCCATAAAACAAAAACCTTTTCTATTGAGGGGGAGGCAATTGTCTAAAGTAACACCCTCAGTACCCCGAAGGTTTTGTATAGAAGTCCAGGATAAAACATGAAATACAAAGAACCAATTAATTTTGAAAATAAACTCAAACAAATTCATCAGAAAATAAAATTATTGACAATCCAAAAAAAATTCACCATAAATACTAAAAATTAATTATTTAAAATTAAATAATGAACTTATATTTGGAAAAGATCTATTAACATCAATTGTCATCCACTACAAATTAAATAAAATGTATTTGAACTTGATTGGATCAATAGAAAAAATTATTATCTGTCACAATGAACCAGAAGGGAAAGTAATAATTTTATTTAAAAGAATGCTTCGATTTTAAATGCTTAATTTATTTTAAATGGTATTTTTTTTCTAAGCATAATACAACTGTATTATTTATAAATTGAAGTCGAATAAATTTTTTTAAATTTCTACTTTTGATACATTTGTTTTGTTTTTCGTTAGAGGAACTTAGAAAAAATATCTTTCTTTTTTTTAACGTTAAATTTCAACAAAAGAAAAAAAAAATAAGTTTTATCTTTAGTCAGTGTTACACTCATGTTATTTAAAAATCTTTTTCAATTCTAGTGCATAAATTTTCAATGCCAGTTTGATGAAAATCAATTTATTTTAAAACAAAATTTCTTGAGATGACATATTGGACATCTCCCATATTTTCTATTCTATATGGAATAAAGTAAAGTAAGGTGGAAATCCTATAGCGCAATATCGGTTGAGTATGGAGGCTAGTACAATACCTCCATCCCAAATCCATTGATTTTTTACAAGGTTCATCTTCCCCATCAATGCTAATCAGAAAGTTTAAAATTACTGAATCTAAAATTTGAAAAGTGCTTCAAAGAAAAGAAATGAACTGATTAAATATTTACAAGCAAGCAAGTCCCTCTAACTTTAAAATATCGTTGGCACGACTCAGGCCCGGACTGGGATCTAAAATCGGCCCGGGCATTTTAAAGATATCGGCCCTCTACTTCACATAAACAAAGCGTGCGCGAAGCGTACGCGGCTCCTAATGTATCATTTTTAGGCATTTTTTGCTTATAAATTCTCATGAATGTAAGTTAATTTATCGAAGTAAGAAAGAAGATTAAAATTGCTTAATAATCCTTTATAGAATAATATATTTCAGTTTAAAATACATGGTTCTTATGAGGTAATAGGTTGATAAAATCAAAAAGAAGGTGAAAGATGAAGAGCAAATAAAAATATTTATTATACTACACATACATAAATGATTTACATAAAAAAAATTTTAAAATTGATTTAATGCTTCTTCAAAAGTCATTAAATTAAAATTAAATTTAACTTTTGAAGAGGCTCACTATTTTCTGCCACTTGATCGATTATGTCGTCGCTATCTAATTTCATTAATAGATCTTTTTCTATTGCCATTACCATGAGAGCATTTAAATTATCAGAAGATAAAGTACTCCTTATTCGATTTTTAATTTCTTTTAATGTGGAGAATGATCTTTCACAAGCCACCTAACTTTTTGACAATGTTAGTAAAAATTTTAATGCTAGACTAATTAAATTGTAAGAATTGGTCAATAAATTGAATCTCTGTAACATCTTGTGGCAACAAATAACGCAATTTTTGAACGCACTGCGTGTCTCAAATTTTAGACTTACTTCTGTTTTCATAGTAAAGTCGTTATTATCTTCATTTGAATGATCTTCTGTTATTATTTTATATTCTTCTAAGTCTGAATTTTTCAGTTTTTCCCAATGTAAAGCTAATTTTCTTAGTTCAATCCGAAAATGTTCCCCTATAGCTGTTTCGTCAAATTTTAGCAAGAGTTTGCTTAACTCATTTAGTTCGCCAGATTGAAGCTTGTTAAGACGTTTTTCAGACGTTCGGATCTAGATAGGAAAAATCGGCGTACAATTTTCCATTTGCGGGAAACCGGACTTCCATTGACGCTACAACTGTGCTGAAAATGTTATGAACGTTTATCTTAAATGCAGTGGTTTCATCATCAAAAACTGTTTCATTCGACGCTGTCTCACCCGGCATCAATTTTCTTTT